GCACAAAAGACAGACATAATCCACCCACATACGTATTCTAAATTCTACTACATATCTCTCCCGCCGCATGGTGACTCAAGTCATAAGCATGCATGAAATATAAAATGCAGAAAATGTAGGACGCGGTTTAGCGCACATACAATACACAAAGACATAAGTCACGTTTAGATATTTTATATTACTACCATAAATACCTATGCATCCACATATGTATTTTGATGTTAAACAAGACAAGAAACTATCTGGTTGTTCGGAAAGTCTTTTCGTTTTTTCCCGACAGAGGATTTAATTTTATTCTTTTGCACCCAACTTCACTTTTAAGCCGTATAATTTTCATATGCTTTGAGAGCTCATATAGCAAGGCTCGTGTGTGAAAAATTCCAATTAATTCTACGCAGTTTTGGTTGGTGCCCTTTTAAATATGGAGAGCGATAAGCAGCATTTTCGACATATCTTACTGTTTTACTACAGAAAGGGTAAAAATGCTGTTCAAGCCAGAAAGAAATTGACTGATGTGTATGGAGAAGGTGTGTTGACAGTACGCCAGTGCCAGAACTGGTTCGCTAAATTTCGATCCGGCAATTTTGATGTCGAAGATGCACCACGTTCGGGAAGGCCGGTTGAAGCTGATAAAGACGCGATAAAGGCATTAGTTGATGTGAACCGGCGAATAACAACACGTGAGATCGGATTGAGGTTAAATTTATCAAATTCAACAGTTTATGACCACTTGAAAGGCCTGGGATTATCCTCGAAGCTCGATGTATGGGTTCCCCATGTTCTCACAGAGAGAAATCTGTGTCGCCGCATTGACGTCTGCGATTCGCTTCTCAAACGTCACGAAAATGATCCGTTTTTGAAGCGCATCATCACTGGGGACGAAAAATGGGTTGTATACAACAACGTCAAACGCAAGAGGTCATGGAGCAAAAAAGATGAACCGGCTCAAACCATTTCCAAAGCCGATATTCACCAAAAAAAGGTGATGCTGTCTGTTTGGTGGGATTTTAAAGGAATCGTTTTTTTTGAGCTTTTACCGGATAACACAACGATTAATTCGGAAGTCTACTGTCATCAGCTGGACAAACTGAATGATGCACTTCAACAGAAAAGGTCAGAACTAATCAACAGGAAAGGTGTAGTGTTTCACCAAGACAACGCGAGACCTCACACAAGTTTGGTCACTCGCCAAAAGCTTTTACAGCTTGAATGGGATACAATGCTACACCCACCATATTCTCCAGACCTGGCACCATCGGATTATTATTTGTTCCGGTCACTCCAAAATTTTTTAGACGGTAAAACCTTCACCTCAAATGAGGAGGTCAAAAACCTCCTCGATCAGTTTTTTGCCAGCAAAGACCAAAAATTTTATGAGCGTGGAATTATGCTACTACCAGAAAGATGGCAAAAGGTGTTGGACTAGAACGGTCAATATATAATTTAATAAAGTATTTGTTTATTATACGAAAACTGTCTTTCATTTCCACAAAAAAAACGAAATGACTTTCCGAACAACATATACAATAAAACGAAGGTATGTACCTGCTTTCCTCCCACAAATATAGATTTATAATACGCAAAACTAGGGGACCGAAACTAGCTTTATGCTAGTTTTTATTGGAATGTAGAAGCAGAATGGAAGTGCCTTAAAACGTATCCAGAGTCAGTAGAGAGAACGAGATTAGAAATGTGTAGATAACAAATGAGACTGTAAGTTTAATTAATAGTAGAAACACAGGACAGATGAAAAAAGGTTTAAAGCGATAAAGGGGTAATCATTTGGAAGGTGGTAAAAAAACAGTGGATTGATAATAATAAATGAAAGCTTGAAGCAGGTATAAAAACTTATGGGGCTTAAAATTTAATTAAAGAAAGGTTATGTAGTAAGTACCTGTCCAAACAGAGGCAGTGCATCGCCATCTGGGGTGTATTTGTTGTTACTAAAGTATTTCAATTTGTCTAACTGAATTGGCAACGCAGATTTCATACGTGATAGGTACGTAAGCCAATTAATAACTTCGTTTAAGTTCTTAGTTAGAAATTTATCGAAAATACTATACTTTAGTAGTAACAAATACTCACCAGGTGGCAATACACTTCCTCTATTTGCATTTTACATAACCTTCTTCTTTAGAAGCTCCTTTATTTTGTAAATAATTTATCCAACAGGCCTTTGGCACGAAGGTCTTATTGCCAAGTTCATTGCCCTCAAAACCCCACAATTCCTTATTGCGATTATTACATCCTTTCTTTTTAACAACCCTTCGTGTCCGCGTTGGCTCTGCTTCACCCCCAGCTAACCCATCACGGCTGGCGTCCCCCAAGGCTCGAAGCTGTCGTCCCTTCTATATAACCTCTTCTGTGCAGACTTGTCGTCCCACCCGTCAATTCTCACTGCCCTTTAAACAAAACAATCCTACGGAGTTCCACAAATATTAACAAATTTCTGCCTCTGCTCCTCAACTGGTATCGAAAATGGAAACTTGCCATTAACCAAGTCCGAAGCTGTCTTCTTCTTCTACAGTCATGATTATCAGAAGCATCTGCTCTTACGCCAGTCCCATCTAGGGTGGCACTGACTCTCGTCGTCTACAAATACTACAATGCACTTATATGCGAATTCTTTATTATTTGTTCCGCACTCAACTACCCGATGCTGCAACCAGATTCGAGACAAATCTCAGGATCTCAGTGTCAAGTCACCTAAGCCCGTATATCTAGACCTTTTCCGACTTCGCCCCTATATCAAAGGACCGTTTCAGAAGGCGCTGTCACCTTCTCTCCGGAGCTACTCACTTTTTGCTCAAGTCTAGTTTCGCTCTTTAGCCCGAGTGCCCACTCAATTTTTTGAGGTGGGACACCGATTTTCGTCCACACCATTCCTCCCCACAAAACACTCCCTCTCTCCACACATCCTTAGTCGGTAGGCGCTTCAACGAATCCGACACTACCCCCCTTTAGGGGGTGGTTTTTGAAGATTTCCCCTCCTCGAGGAAAAACTAAACAAAAAAGTAATTTATCGAGATTGCCCTTTGCGCGTTGATGAAAAACTTCGAAATCACGAACCACGTCTGGTCTGGCGCCCCCTTGACATAGATTCCACACCAATTGGTGCATCCCCCCTTGCCTTCTAGATACTACTATAGGTCATCAGTTACTCCGGAGCATTTTTTGTCTGACGATATTTTTTTCTCGTCTCTAACGAGCACCTTTTAGCCTCCTGACTAGCCCGAACTAGTATGCCCTTGCGCCTCAACCTTGCCTTCACCTACAAATGTGCACCATCCCTAATGGATCAGGTTACACATCCTTTCCATGTGCAGCTGCTCTGCCCTAGCCATGGTCATTCAAAAACGACTAGTGCTGACCGTGGTCGTTTAAAAATGACCACCGATAACCGCAGCCGTTTGATGAGTTGTATAAAACAACCACCTAGCCCTCCCCAAGTTTTAGCATGTTCATCAGGAATTCATCTTTATTATTTTGGAGTTTCTAAGTTCTCTTCAGCATCAGAAATTAAAAAAAAAAATTACTAGTTAGGTCAACCTCGCATAGATGGGGTTAGTGTATATTTAAATAAGGCGCAGCAATGAAATATTTAGATACCTCATTTGTAAAACGATATTTGTAAAGTATATGTTTACTACCTAGCTACTTCCTTAATATCCCTTCCATGAAGGTGCACTGAAGCTTAAACAAGAAAAGCAATAAATTAATTATAACGGCAATTAACAACCGTTAAATGAGCCACAAATTACTGTTAACTCTGGCAAAATTATGCAGGCAATAAACGGAAAGCTTAAAAGCGCAGCAACTGCAGGTAAATGTAGCCGAGAGCTCTAAGAGAGATTTAAGAAGTTTAATTTACAAGAAGCTATAAACATACATGTACCTGTACATATATTGTAGGTATGTATAGGTACTTAAGTTACAGTGAATGTAAAGAATTTGAAATTTGATCCGCGTCTGACAATTTCAACAAAATACTTTAGACATGCAATTCAACTTTCTACCTCGTGCCAATTTTTACATTTCTGAAAAACCAGAACCCTCTATTTGCAAACAGTAATTTAATCTAACTGTACCGCTCTTTATTCATGTTTGTGCTTCTACTATGAGAAGAAAAGTTTTATCGAACTATCTCGCTTATTTATTATTGATTTCCAAAACGCCATCTACTGCTTCTACTATTTCCTCATTTCAAACCTTTTTAATCCACTCTGTATTTTTAACACCACATGTAAAATGCTTCTACGACGACTTCAATATAGTTCTTCGTCACTTATTTTTATATTAGTTGTAACCCTACTTTTACATACGAATATTTTGTTTTATTTTTACTAATTTTTATACGACACTCTTCTATTAATATCGCTTCCAGCTATGTCTACCTTCTTGTTACTATTATGTATGACATCTGCAAATCTAAGCATGCTCTATTTTTGTCTTTGCATGTCTATCCCTAAAGCTGTCGTGTCTTTGATAATATTCATCACAACAGTAGATAGTAGCGGTGACAAAGTACAACCTTGTCAGACTAAGGGGGTATATTACACACGGTGCGTGGAGCGGCAATCCACGCGCGACATATCTAATGCCATTGCTCAACCCGTTACACACAGCGTAGATTGCCAATTCCCCGTCATTGTTAGGAAAAGGACGCTTCTTTACGTTCCAGGTAGCGCCGATCTCATTACACGGTGCGTGGAGCGGCAAACCATGCGCGACGTCTATAATGTTAGACAAAACGTAGATTGCTAATCCACGCGTAACGTCTATAGTGCCAACGATCAACCAGTCACACAGAGTGTAGATTGCTAATCTAGCGACATTGCTCGGGAAAGGACGTTCATTCACGCTCAAGGTAGCGCCGATGTCGTTACACCGAGCGTGCATCGGCGTTCCACGTGCCAGCAAATGGGTTGAATACGTCACGCGTGGATTGCAGCTCCACGCGCCGTGTAACAGGTGTTTTGTCATATATTATGATTTATTACCTGTACTTGTCCGTGTGATATATCATCTAATATGGCATGGTCCTGAAGTAAGGACCTGGTAATGAGTTTCTTGCGACGTCGTTTGTGCATTGTAAGGAAGCGTCCCGTGCACGCCGGAAGGGGAGCCGAACCCATGGCGTCCAACAGGATCCAGTCTTCTGGTGAAAAACTTTGATGTAATGGTGGCACCTCTGAGGGAGCTGAAACAATAATACCATCATAAATATGATACGAAAGAGCAATGTTTGTATATTATACACTTTAAAATATGTAATAGAAATTTAAAATAAATATATTTTCAACTCTCAAAATGTTATCCTCAGTTAAATACCATAAATTAATTTAAATTCAAAAGCTAATTGTAGAGACTATATTCGTTAAGACAGCGGTCCCCAAATGGTGTTCCGTAGAACCCTGGTGTCACAGGGATTCCACGAGATACGACACTTCTTGTCCTAGTTAAAATACACAAAATTCTGCGAAACTGAATCATTCCGTATTTAACCATAAACGAACATCTTATATTGAAACTGAAAAATTCCTTGAAAAAATCTTTTTCAGAGGAGTCACCCAGTCACAGGATAGCCAGTGATTCTAATGGTAACTATGTTGGAGTATCAGAACTCGATACATATTAAGAATTCATCCTCCTTAAAACAAATATTCGAATCAGCTGATTCAAATTTGAATGGCCTTTAAGTAGATCAGACTTAATAATGAATGCCCTGCAATCGTTGAAAAGGTTATCACGGTTCCTGTTTCTATTTATTTCGACTTAAGATTACAGACGAGCTTTTCAGTTTAGGCTTACATTAAGAACAAATTCAAAACTAGACTGGATACCATTCCAGATATTCGAATTGAATTGTTTGACATTAAATTAAATTTTAACGCTATAATAAGCAAAAATGTGCATATTAAATATATAATTGCAACAAAGATTTTGAATCCAAAATTCAATTTGAACAACATGTACACAATAAGGTGCCAGGATATAGACATAAAACTATCACCACTACTTTTTTGTCGAATCAAAATTTCAGTAAGAAAGTTAAATTAAATTTAAGTACGAATGATGAGGATACTGCGGAAATGGTTGGAAATGAAGAGGTATTAGAAAGAACAGGAGAACAGAGGACTATATGGAAGTCAATAAAAAATAGGCGAGACAGGTTGGAAAAACACCTTCTCAGGCATAAAGGTCTTGACAGAGACATATGAGAGGCAGAAACATAAGTTAGGAGGGGTAGAGGTAGACCTACATTAGATTACTGTTCGCAAATAGTTAAGGATGTGGTATGTTCTAGTTTTAGAGAAATGCGAAGATTAGCTCAGGATAGGAAGAACTCTGGAGGTGCGTGTCCAACTAGTCTTAGGACTGACGACCTTATGATGATGATGATGGGACGTGAGTGAGGGTGGTATTTAATGAAAAGTTCGCCAGAACGAAGGGATGAACCATTAATATGAACCATTAACCGAAGTGGTCTTAATGCCGGGTACTCGGTTATCCGGGTGCATCTCTACAAAATTTTACGTCAATCAAATACATATCAAGCTTTCATTTGCAACGCAAAACGTTAAAGGATTGGTGATTTATTATTCTTATTATCGTCAGTCAATATTAGAACATCCCACCGCCATCCACAGTACGATAATATCTCTCCCAATCGTTTATCTTATTTTTAAAAAATATAATCTGGTAATCGTAACTTTTGTATAATGACTAATGTAAGTACAGATCGAGAACAAATGTTTTCCACTATACTATCTACTATCTAAAGTGCGTACTTACTATTTGCACGGAAAATGTAAACTCTACGATAAAGGCGTAAATAGAACATCAACTTTCGTTTACCTGCTAAGTACGTATAGATAAGAGGACGGTACAAAAGGTTACTGCAAAGGTTATAGTAATCGGATTTTATAAAATATTCATTCATTTTCTTTTTTTCTCATCTCGTTGTACAATTTCAAGTTTTTAACTTATTCATCATTTGTTTACTAGAGAGAAGGTAACCAAATCTGGAGAATACGGTGGATGCTGCTGCAATTGTCAGTGGATGCATTTTTTTTTTATTTTCTTATTACAATAGTACATATTGTGAATATTCAAAGAATGTTAAATAAATACCAGCAGGTGTTTCATAAAAATGAGAATTTAATGGTTTGAGGATTAATATGTACATAATAGTCTAAGACAACGGTAATGCCACCTACCATTTTACACGGATTTAACAGACCACTCTCGTAATTTAAATTTCGTGTGAAAAAAAGAATTAAACAATTACCTAAAACAACAAAAAATTTATATCGCTAAATGTGTTGCTAAGCACAAAACTTGAGAACGGCTGGACCAATTTCGATATTTTTTTTTTTTAAATATTCCTTGAAGTCCGAGGAAAGTTCTTATGTAGAGAAAAGTTGGAAAAATCGCTCAGAAAAACGTAAAAACCAAATTTAAACTGTTCCTAGCTGTCAACTCCAGGGAATTGCCAAGTGTATGACGAAGCATCACTTGAGCAATCAATTTGAGTGATTTTTTGTTGTTTTTGTAATTGACAGGACAAGGTTCGTGTGAAAGAAAATTTTTTGAAAAATACACGGGAAAATCCGGAAATTCCGGTAGTACTTTTATATGGAACAACCGTCGTTGTAAATTTTTGTTTTTGGTCAGATTAACATAAATTTGGTATTTACACTCATTGTATAACATCAAATACCTTTTTCAGCATTTTAAAAAATTCGACTTCTTAAAGGGGGTGAAAAGGGACTGTAACGTTTATATGCTAGATATTTTATTTATACCTAGTCAGATTTAGTTGAAACTTGACTTTATTGCTTTCTTTTTCATATAAAATTAGTGATATATATACATACCTGTTTCAACATTTTAAAAAAATCAACTCCTGCAGGATGCTGATAGGGGTTTGCAAAGATTGCACGGAACATTTTTGTTATTGGTTTGATTTACATGAAACTTAGGTAAAAGATTCAACCTCTTTGGGGAGGGGGGGGGG